AGAGGAGGAGAAAAAGGACCCATTTCAACCTCTGTCCACAAAACTCCATGTTAGGTAGTTCACTGTGTAGAAATCAGGCTAAAACATCTGTGAAAGAAAGCTATGAAACAGCAGGGAATGAGGCTGGTTTATTGTTTATCTTTTGTTCATGAGGCAGTATTCAAGTTTAATTACTACTCTAAATTAAACTCTAACTGCCATCAGGAGACAACCCTTTACATGACTAAGTTAAAAAAAAAATCTAGAAATCCCAACTCTGGTTTCTAAAGTAAGTTGATACATATAGGAAGAAATTACTCAAAATTAACAGCAATTATAGAAAGCTTTTAAGCATTTATGGGCACCATTACATGTTCCTAGACCATTCATTTATTAGAAGGGTTTAATTTTATTTCTAATGGTTACTACTCTAGTAAGTTCAGAAGAAAGCAACAGAAAATTATTTGAGTGTTTTCTGATGATTGAAGGATAGTTTTTTTTTTATTTTATTGGAGGGGAAGAGAAAGAAAATGCATTATTAATATTCTGTATACAGCAGCCTCTTCTGTGGTCATGTTCCATGATCAATTATAGTGTCAGAAAAAATTTTGATACAATTAGGAGGATAGGAAGAAAAAGAAATGTCATTGTATTTATCATAACAGTAAATGACCAGTTTGGGATGAACTTAGCTCTAGGAAAAATAAAAGTTAAAAGCAGCTAGCAAAAGATTATGCCAGCTGGCACCTGTCACATTGTATTTAGGGTTATTTTAAAGAGATTGCCACCACTTGCGTTGACAAGACTTTCCCTAGACTGAGGAAGAAATCCCGGAAGAACATAGGCAGGACCCACAGAAAGTGGATTTGAGGTATTCCTCACCCTTCTTTTCAATATTTAAGTAAGATATCTTGATGAGGGAAACACTATTTAAAACTATAACATGTGTTACCAACTCAAAAGTGTAGTACTACTACTGTCTTAGGGGTCCCGTATGCCTTATGAACTTGCATTCACTCCTAGAGGAGAATTCGTGGGTTCCGACCCCATGACTGCTGCAGAACTGTATGAAATCTAGAACTACATGAAATCCGTCCATGGAGTCCTAGCCTGACTGGCCGGGTAGGAGACAGAGCCCTCAGTGGAGGGCTGGGGGGCTGAGAAGGGAGGCGCGGCGGCCACGCGGCCTGGGGTGGACTGTGTCTGTACTGAAGCTGAGCTGGGTCTGGCAACAGTATGGTTAACGTGTGTGGGGTGTGCAGTGTGAGCTCAGCAGTTACTGGGCCAACTGTCTCGGTATTTCTGGGAAGCCTGCCTATTCACAGTGCAGGGATTGTTCAGTTGCTGCAAAATGTACAAAATGAATTTTACAAAAATGAATTGTAAGGAAGGCCCCATTACAACGATTCTACAGCAAAGATGTCAACATCAATTTTTCTTTCATGCATAGCTAATGATTAAAACAGCATATTCCATTTGCCTAAGACAATTTATTTCATATTGGCACATCAAAATATTGAAATACAAAGTTATCTTTAGTCTACCCTTTTTATTCATTGCTGCTGAACCCATACCATTGTTCAAACCAGAAAAAATAAAACAAACTTGGCACGAAATACTTAAAACAAAGGCTCATCAATATCCTCCAATTTGTCAACATCTCAATTACAGCACTGCAAAAAATGTAAATTTCATGTGCTCTACACACTGAGGGGGATATTCTCCTGCCAATTCACATGCGTAACTCCCATCAGCAGTAATGGGAGTTACACACACCCATCAATAATAATAATACTTTGTACATACACTGTGCCTTTCATGTAAGCCTCTCAGGGTGCTCTAGAAGCAAGGCGGCCGCTTCCTAGTCTTCAGTCTGGCAAAACTACACACTGAGATGCAGAGCAGCTTGTGGCTGAGTCCCCGCCTTCCTGTCAAGCCTTACTTTCCGATGGGAAAGCAGACACAAAGAGTGCCGGTGACTTCCCCAGAATCCCAACCCAAATTCTAGCCTTGAAAAACCAGCTTTCCTTCCTCATTCCTGTGGCCAACAGGACAAACGTCCTCCCCCTGGCTGCTTTTACCAACAGAAATCAAGTGAATGAAACGGCTGGTTCATATTTACATCATTCACTAGGAAGAATGTGCTACTGGAGAGATGTAGCAAAGTCAGTGTCTACATTCCAGAAAGTTTACTTCTTACACTATTTTAATTAATTTATTTTTATTTTCCTCCTTTCGGTTTCTGGCATCTTTTCCTAAGGAGGAAAAGATGACCTTTCACCTGTGAAACTGTGTTTCTTTCCCTATCAGATCATAAAACAAGGTGTTTTTAGGTAAAGATTTGTATGAATCATTATTGTGAAAATACCCTCAAAAATCATAAAGCAACATAAATGCATGTATTGTTTTATAGCATATGGCTATTAAAATTTAATTTAAAATGTGTATGAAAACATTGTATTTAGTACAATTCATCCCTGTTTTTTCTGTTTATCATAATTTGTTTTGAAAATGAATCATTTTACAGTTTTCCATATGCCTGTTGTGCTAATAAGTTCTGAATAAGCAGAAAAACTCTTTACTAGACTGCAAACGTAATTTTCAGTGAAACATTATAATCTACTTAGTACAAAGAACATAGTATTTCCTTCCTAGGTTTTCCGTTCTGCACCAACCCTAAGCTTTAGCCTGTGATAAGCATACGTGATTTCAGTCAATGTCGCTGTTGACTTTGCCCTGCAGCAGATAATTCATCTTTCCTACGGAAAGCTACTCTGGACAATCCAGTGGGACGAAATGTCAAAATATCTTGAAAAGATGTTTAAGAGACCAAGAGGAGCAGGAGTATGACAAAATATACCACCCAAGTCTAGTCTTCAGATTTTATTCTGCTGTGAAAATACCAAGAGTATCCTTATCCATGTTTTAACCAAAACATGTGGTAAACCAGGGAGGGCACTTCCCAAACACTCTTCCCTTCACAGGAAGCCTACGTTGTCTCTCTCAAGCTTTAACGTGGTGAAAAGACTGACTTCCTAGTGCCCGTGCACAAAAGCTACCGTGTCCATCTTTAATCCCACAGAGATATGATTAGAGGAACAAAATCCTTTAGGGATCAAATCCTTCCACATGGGGATAAGCGGTTATACTCTCCCACTCTGAGAGGCCGGTGCCCTGCTTCCATCTGAGTCTCACAGCTCTTTGCTTCCTTGAACTCACTGCCCCCCACCAGCAAAAAAACAAAACAAAAAAAACAACTAAGTAACAAAAACGATAAAACTTCACACTTTGCTGCTGGGTTAACTATTCACACTTTGCTTGCTGGGGTTAGGAGCGGAGCCTCCTGTGTCTGTCCCCATCCTCTTCTCTCTGGCTCCTCTTGCCATAACTCAGCCTACCCAACAGAACCCGTCAGTTTTAAATTTCAGTTGGGACCTTGGTGACCTGTTAATGAATCTACAGAGAGGAGCAAAACTCACAGTGTTGAGTTATGCCTGGTGTTGCTCGCTGACTTGGAGTCAGAAATGCTTGAAGCGTTAACGTAATTGCAAGAATGTGAAAAATGAAGCTGGGCTCCTGAGCAAGTGAAAGGTCAGAGACAGCCTCACACACAAGAAGTCTCTGGAAGATGGCCTCATTAGGCCAGTAAGTCCGCCTCTCCTCTCTCCTCTTTTGTACTATGTGTAGGGTGTTTTGTTTTTATTAATAGATACATTTCACCCTTTTGTCCCTTTTGGGGGCGGGGGGGGGGGGGGGGGGGGGGAACAATACAAAACCTTCTGGGTTTAAACACACCAAGGAATCCACAGTTAAGTGTGGTTAAGTGTGTGCACTGTATACAGTGCACAGGATCTATGTGCAAGTTACCTTCACAGTGTCTTAGAGTTTTGTTTGTAACGGATGCAATAAAAGCAGTATGCAAACCCCCAATAAAAACAACAAGCAAGTCCTTCTACAGCCACATCAGACTTCACACCCCTGTGTCAGCCTCAGCTTGCTTCCCCGGGCTCTTGATGTGGTCAGTGAAAGCGCATCTTCCTAGTCTCTCCTGGAAATCTGCGCACCCCAAATCCCTGGCCGCAAACTGTGAGGAAAGTCGCTCTCCTTACACCAACTGCCCTTTTAACATGGCAGACATAATGACATTACCAGCTGGTAAGCTGTCCTCTATGTGAAAGCCTGTCTAACACTTAAACACTGTGCCCATAAACACAGTTGTAATAGAGATGAAACTGACCTATGAGATCAGACACCACGTAATGTAAAATATTAAAAAGTAAAATCTATACACTTTCCTGGCCCACACTCAATAGTGCATCTTCCTTTAAATGATCATTTTAGCCATAGAGGAGGCATCCTCACCAATGTACAATTGCTCTCTGTGCAGTAGGTAGACTTTCAAGGGTAGTAATCCACCCCAACTTGCAGCAGGCTTCCTTGACATCTGTAGCTGCTGTCCTCCTGCCCGCTGGTTATTCAAAATATTAGCAATTGTGACCAAGTCACCATGCCAGCTGACCAGAAAAAGGAACACTCCCCAAGGAGTTTCAGAACCCATCATCCCAAGATGCGACCGCATGTAAAATCTCCCCCCGTATCTATCTACAAACACATTTTCACATCATTTGTCCTTTAGAGCATAATTGATTACACAGAACTCTTGTGGCTTGATATTATGAGTAAATATTCTACTTATAATTCAAAGTACTGAATTTCAGCAATAAAGTAGGTCCATCCTTCCATTTACTTATACACACCAGAGTAGAGGGTAGATAATCAAATTCGTAAAAGAACTGGCAGAAATAATCAATTACTATTGTAATTCCTATTTAGTGACTGACAGCGTATTGTATTCTTTCTTTAAGTAAAGTAAGAAGAAACACTGTCTTCCTGAATGACAGCAGATGTATGTCCTTACCTGTCCTTCTCCTGTTTACCCAGAAGCGGAGGTACTGACCCCACAAAACACGCAAGCCATGTGAGTCATGCCTGCTAGGCACAAGTTGACGCTTGCCCTTTACCTTGCTCACTGCTGTTGTCGCCACTCTGGGAAGCGTGGCCCCCACTGGAGGGTCCTGGGGTGCCTGCTGAGTGGGTTGAGGTCGCATCATCATGGTCTCGCCAAGATGAAGGGTTCTGGTGCCAGGATGCCAAGGAATTTCCCCACAGTTACCATTTCGCAGTATATGAAGAGCCAAGAGGAGAGGAGCAAAGGGAGACAAAAACGTGTACTTATTAGTATTTGCACAAGTAGGTACACACGCACGCCATGTTACACGGTGCTGTTTTCAGTTACAGGTACAAAATGGAGCTCCAGAACTCGATTAACCCTCACTTTGGTGTATACATCTGTTAAGGCTAACTGAAATATGCACGTAAATGGTGCATTTTACCATATTCAAATGAAGACCACAATAAAGTTCAGTTTTTAAGTAAGAAAATATTGAAAGTATCTTTTAAACTTCTGATACACCTTAATCAAGGCACATCCCCCACCAATCAGTCCCCAAGGCTCCTGGATACTAACTATTTCAAAACATTAATATCTATATAACTAACACCTCCCTTAGTAAAAACCACAGGCTGAAGAATATATGGGACAGCTCTTCACATTTTTCACGTGTGCAGCCCTAGGATAACCTGTGTAAGCTCCCAAAAAACGTCATCGGCTAATCCTGTAACCAGCTGATGCAATATTAATCATTACATTGATACCCAATAAATTATCAATCGCCACTTAATTTGCAAATAATAATTTGCACGAATTTTCAATCGTGGGGCTTAAACTCTGGGCCTGAGTGCTGTTCCTCAGCTCTTCAGCTCAAGGAGAGCGCTCTACCACTTGAGCCACAGCACCACTTCTGGCTTTTTCTGTTTATGTGGTGCTGAGGAAATCGAACCCTGGGCCTCAAGCATCTGCGAGGCAAGCACTCTACCACTGAGCCACCTTCCCAGCCACGAATAATTTTTAAATGAAAGAGATGTGCGCTACTTGCCATCTAGTAAGCTAGCTAGACTTTCTCTTAAGCACCACAGAAGTTCTAAATCACTGAGTAGTGATTTTTTTTTCCTGGGAAAACTACTTATTTCCAAGGACATGCAAAGCAGAATGAACGTTATAGCTCATGATACTTTGCTGAATATATTTTTTGCCTGTTTCCTCTCCCCTTTCCTGATCCTTCCAATCCTCTGCTGTTGCTTAAGGAAAACAGGAATTCTAATGTACAGGAAGGACTTTATCAGCACCCCTCGAAGGGAAGCAACACATGGAATTTCCTCTGGCAGAAATGAAGGGTAGACACCACATATGAAATACAGCAGACCTGAGACCAGAGCTGTACTCCTGCCACCTGTATACAACAGCTTCAGAGAAGTCTACTGGACCACTGGCAAAGGGAATTCTTTGGGGCACCCAAAATGTAAAGCAATGTCAATCTCCCAAAATATGCCGTGTATCCTACTAGAACCTGTAGCAATCCAGACAGACCTACAAGTATATAAGCAGCACTCAACCCTCATGACCAAATGAAAATAATCTAGCCAAGTTGCCATTACACAGTTTATTAGGAAAAAAAATACAACCCTGTCATTCTTCTGAACATGAACTCTGTGACATACATATAACACAAAAAATAGTATCAAAATAAAACAGGAATACAAGGTGAGAAAAAGTAAGAAAATACTCATATTTGGAACACAGAGATTATAAATTAATATTTGGCATTTTCAATAGATTTTTAACACAACCCACAGCTCTCTGGATTAACAACATCCATATCAAAAATGCTACAGCCTGCCATCAGCAAAAACCCTGAGCAGAAATTTAGTGACTCTAAATATGGTACAGGATCCATCTTTAATATAAAGATATGCTAGAGGAAATAAATTAGGGAATGAAACTGGGTAGAATAAAATAAAACCAAGTCTTCTAATTGTCTATATTCAGACAAAGTTACTTCTATGATCTCTTTTTTTTTTTAATCTAAGTTAGAAAACACTCCAATGGTTTCAAGCTAATGGCAGACAGAATGCTGGGGCTCTTCAAGCCATACAGTCTCTTCTTGTCTGCTGTTTTGCCGGATGGTAATCTGATAAAGAGCTAGAAGAATTATAGGAAAGAGAGGAAGAGGGGGAGGGGAGGAGGAGGGAGAGGAACAGAAGGAGGAATGGAGGGAGGAAGAAAGAAAAGGAGGGAGGGGGAGTAATAGCATGAGTGTAGTCCTGTAACAGCACAGGCTAGAACCTTCTCTGTATTTGTATTAACTGCAGTAAATTCACCTAAGCTAAACTTTTCAGTGTACACAGCAAGTGATGTTAATTTTATGCACTGCAGGCTTTTTATTAAGCTGGCTGCTATAAAAGCTCCTTACCCCTTGTGAAAATTACAATAATTAACCACTAACACCTCAACTATGTTTTAAGGCAAATGTCTTCCAATAGCTATTACATAATCGTCCGCATGAAGCTCAAGTGAGTCTTTCTATGTAGGCAATACAGGGATTTTAAGGACTCCTGCTCAAACATTGGTTTGCTCCTACCAGTCAAATCTGTACTAAGTTTCAAAGGCAGGCCTCATCAATTCCTTAATTCATAATTCAGTGTATTTCCTTCCTTGCTGTTCTCTTCAAGGTGTTCTCCAAAGCACACAGTTGAAAAGAAAGATACATAGTAAGTGGTAGAAGCAGCGCTGTGGCTCAAAGTGGTAGAGTGCTAGCCTTGAGCGTAGAGCTCAGGGACAGCTTCCAGGCCCTGAGTTCAAGCCCCAGAACCAGGAAGGAAGGAAGGAAGGAAGGAAGGTAGGAAGGAAGGTAGGAAGGAAGGTAGGAAGAAAGGGAGGGAGGGAGGGAGGGAGGGAAGTGAAGAGAGAAAGAAAGAAAAAGAAAGAAAAAGGAAAAAAATAGTGGTTTCTCCAAACAAGTTATATTAGTCCCCAAATTTTTTCATGTTCCTTCTCTTGCCTACCATTCCCCTATCTCTTTCCTCTTCTCTCCATCTCTCAAAAACATTATTCTGGAAGAGTCTCACGTCTACTGCCACAGTATCACCAGATGTTATGTTCTGTGTTGTGGGCTGGGATGAACTATGGAGCGTCACATGATAGCTATGTAACTTGAAAGAAGGCAGGAGGAATAGATTCAAGGCTGAGGAGTTACCCTGGTGTCTGTACTTGGTTATACATGGTGATGTCATCATACATACAGACACACTGAGACTCTGGTCAGTAGAAAAAAAGTTGGTCCTCCCTTGGTCAAAAAACATGGTAACCAAAGCCGGGCGCCAGTGGCTCATGCCTATAATCCTAGCTACTCAGGAGGCTGAGATCTGAGGATCACAATTCAAAGCCAGTCCAGATCATGGTTCAAAGCCAGGAAAGTCCGTGAGACTCCTATCTCCAATTAAAAAAAAAAAACAAAAAAAAAAACAGAAAACCAAGAAGTGGCGCTGTGGCTCAAGCGGTAGAGCGCTCGCCTTGAGCTGAAGAGCTGAGGGACAGTGCCCAAGCCCAGAGTTTAAGCCCCATGACTGGCAAAAAAAAAAAAAAAAAGGTAACCCACAAGGACAACATAGAACATTGCCCATAATGCTGGGATTTTCAAATTAGAATATTTGTTTGTATCACCACTCCTTCTTTTCTTCCTAGAGAGTTTCCAAGTTTACATCCTTCAAGAATAAGTGCCTGGCTTTCTGCCAAATTAGATTCAGGAGTTTAGTAAATCCTGAAACCAAAATGGCATACGAAATCACGTAAAAACACATGACGTCTGTTGAAGAATAGAGAGATGATCTCTGTGCGTGTGAGTGCAGACTCTAGAGGTATGTGCATTCCACATCATGTGTCCTGTTCTCCAGCACAAGTATCAAGAAGAAACCCCAGGGCACAAGGAGAGCATGTTTCTATTCCCAGTGGCTTCCATAATTGGGAGTCAAATATGGTACACTTCTTACTGTGACGTAATTGTGTTAAAGAACAAGAGTTACCAGGAGCAAAGCAGTGAATACTGAGTGAAGCACAATGGAAGGAAAATAGACACAAGAAGCTCTGTCTCCAGGGGCAGTACTTTCTATTTGCTGGGCCACGGACTCGAGCTGATAATGCAAGTTGTAATTAATATAAAAGCAGAGACAATATGGGCAGAGCTGCTTGTCGGGGGGCCACAGGAGAGCAGGCGGCTGCTCTCCTCGGTTCCTCATTTAGACACGGCTTTCCCTAGGAAATACCATTCTGCCAGCGTGTTCTCCCTTGAAAGTTAAAAAAAAAAAAAAACTGATGTAGCACCGTCATTGAATTCTGCTAAATCTAGAAAACAGTGAAGAGGAAAAGGGAGTCTGGACAGAGGAATGAAAGTCTATGTGCACCTCTTTTGTTGAGGGTGCAAATACTGTGCAGTTGTCACATTTAAAGCCAAGGTGGCGTTTCTGGGAGGGTACAGCCTACAAGATAATGCTTTAGGAAATCCTAGGAAACTGTAGGTTATTTCCCTATTTTAAGTGATTTCATATAGTGCATGATTTTTCCCTGGGGTCACTGGGGTAAACCCTGTCAGAGTTTCTAAAAGAACACAAAAACAGAGTGAGGAAGTAAAGTGTACTAAGCTTCAAGGACAAAACAGAAGATTCTAACAGGCCCACGCTCCGACTAAGCTTTGACGCTCGGCGTGGACCCCAAGCACCAAGAGGACTGCGCATGCGCAGGTGTAGTGCAGGGGGCAAGGCGGCTGTGTGCAGGAAGACTCCGGGCCACGCCCCTCCTCTCACTGACCTAGGGCCTGGGGCCACCATTTCTCCTGGGACGCATTTCCTTCACTCATTCACATGAAGACGCTACACAAAACAATCCTCACAGCCAACTACACTTATTTCTACTATACATGTAACATAACCGTTAGATTTTTCTAGAATATGAACTCAAGTGAAAGATTGTATTATTTGCAAGAAATAGTAAAAGCAATCCAGGATATGGACTTGACAGTAAATAGGAAAATAATTTAGTCAGTAAAAGGATAACATATTGGTATCAATACATGTGACTAGTACTGTTACTTATTTCTTGTGATGTCATGATAGTTTAAGTCCTAATTAGCAATATAACTTTTTTTTTTTTTTTTGGTCGGCCATGGGGCTTGAACTCTGGGCCT